TTAGGTCCTACCTGATACTGATGATCATGTGCTAAGAACAATTATGTAGGGTTGGGTTCGATGACTATGAGGATGATGATCGTATGACTTATTATTAATAACGAGTAGAAGTTGTATGATGATGCATGATTAGTAAGACTTGTTATTATATATGATGATGCATGATGCGAGCATGCATGAGTTATTATATCAGCGGGTGAAATGAACATATATAGCAGCAGCGTTGGTAAACCAAGGACGAAGATATAAGAGAGGACACTTCTCTCTATTAGCTAGCTAATAACAACCTAAAAATAACCCCCAAAACCCCTAAAGCAGCCACTTTTCTAAAAAAAACATGGACTTTTGGTCCCGGTTGGTGCCACCAACCGGGACCAAAGGCCCCCTGACTGGGCTCGGCGCACAGGCCACGTGGAGGCACATTGGTCCCGGTTCGTGTTTGAACCGGGACTAATGGGTGGAGGTATTAGTAACGACCCATAAGTCCCGGTTCATGAACCGGGACTAAAGGCCCTTACGAACCGGGACTATTAGGTGTTTTTCTACTATATGTTTGAACGTAAGTAGTTTCAGGATCCCTTCTTGATCATTTCTAACTTCTCGACCGTTGCGTTGCTTCTCTTCTCGCTCTTATTTGCGTATGTTAACCACCATATATGCTTAGTCGCTGCTGCAACCTCACCACTTATCCTTTCCATACCGCTTTAAGCTTTGATAGTCTTGATACCCATGGTTATGGGATTGTTGAGTCCTCGTGGCTCACAGATTACTACAACAACAGTTGCAGGTACAGGTAATGCGATGATCATGACGCGAGAGCGATGTTTACTTGTTTTTGAGTTCTTCTTCTGCTTCTTCTTCAATCAGGGGATAAGTTCTAGGTCGGCAGCCTGGGCTAGCAGGGTGGATGTCGTTGAGTTTCTGTTTGTGTTCATCCGTAGTCGGATGTTGCTCTTATGTATGATGTTGTGGTATTCGTGTGGCATTGTGTGCCTCTTGTATGTATCCCCAACTATTATGTAATGGTACGATATAATGATATCCACCTTGCAAAAGCGTCTCCAATATGCGGTTCTATCCTTGGTGGGACCTTCGAGTTCCTTTAGGATTCGCATATTGGGTGTGACAGTCGGTGATCCGCCTATCCATGTGATCGAGGTGGCGAGTATGTGGTGGCTCCCCACCCACTGTCTTCCTGGAGTGTGGTGACCCATCAACGCCATGGTTAGCCGATGGGACCCCCATGAGCAGTGGTCGATTGTGCTAGTATGGTGGGTGGAGGGGGCTCGAAGAGGACAAAATCACTGTTCTCACCCTTATGGCATAGTTAAGCATGAACTGACTTCATTTTAGAGAAAAATTCAGATCTAACCTTTCTCTACTCTCATCGTCCCGGGTGGTAGGGTACACTCCCTACCACCTCAGGCTATGCCGGCAGGGTGCTGGTTAACATGCCAGCGCCGTCATGGCATCGTTCGCTGACATGGTACCCTACCGCCACCAGCCTTGGCGGCAGGGTGTCGTACCATACCGCTAGTGACCTTGGCAGTAGGGTAACATGCCTTACCACCCAGAAAAAAAACCTACCAGGCCCCTGTAGCCTTTCCAAAATAGAGAACCCTCTATCAACTACATAAAATTAAATTTACATGTAGCACAACAATATAGCAACAATCTATTAACAACAACATTGCAAATTCCGTCACACACAACAATATAGCATCACACACAACAATGCCATCACAAATAGTTTAACATTAACCAAATCCCTCAGCATAATAGTTCAACATATCCAAATACTAATAGCAAGCTCAACATGCAAATAAAAGGTTCTCAAGTTCAGCAAAACACCAAGTTCATAACAAATACTACATAGCAAGCAAGTGGCCAAATCACTTCCTTCCCCTCTTGCAAACACGATCCTTGTTTCCCTTTGAGCGTTCATTGGTGGTTATTTTGTGACGAGGACACTCATTTTGGGAAGGTGATGGAATCCAAAGGTTCTAATGTCCACAAGGAACCCCTTTTCCCATGGGTTGGCTGAGTGGAGGTCCATCCCCCATTTGTGACATGTTGATCTCGTTGTAGTCGTGGTCCTGTGGATCCTCTCCCCAAAGATCAGGAAATTGGGACATCGAAAGTGCGATGAAAATTAGCCTAGTGAGAGTGGGTGAGAAAGAGGGAAAATAATAAAAATGTTATAATTAATGCAAAACAATAAAAGTCTTTTTTTCATTAAAAAAGTTATGAAAAAATAGGCTACGTGTAAGCCATGTTTCGTTTCACGGGCACTCGGCTTATATTCCGCATACTTTTAAAAATAAAATAATTCTCTAAAGTAAGCTGAGATCTTTGTGATATACACTTGGCTTATAGGTTGCTCTGTCACAGGGCCTTCAACTACCTCCGTGATGGCCACATGGTAGGTAACGTTGTCGAGGGTTAACTGTAAGCCAAGAGCTTTTTTATGTAAGCCGAGTTGGTTTTATACTTTTTTCTCACACTCAGCTTAAGAGCAATTAAGCCGAGCTCTCGTTATTTGTCGGGCGTTTTTTAGCGTGTGCTTGCTTTTGTGGAGGTAACCTGAGTGGTTGTGTTTTCACACTTGGCTTACGTCCAGCTGCAAGGCGGCGTGTAATTTTCATGTTGTGTGGACGAAATTTCTTCCTCAAATTTACACACATAATTTCAGTTAAATACCTAACAAGGAACTAGAATAAAACAGAACCGGTCTCTGTAATTTTAAACACTTACAAGGGGAAGGAATGATAGATGGGCCGAGAAGAGAACGTACCGACGCTTGAGGTTCGCATCGACAGTGTAGGTTCCAGAGCATCCATGGACTTGGGCGGTCTGGTAGTTGCAGCCACGACGCCAGAGCATCTATGACAATGGAATGGGGGTGGGCGGCGGCAGTTCCACGAGAAGAGATGGACACCGTCGCATGCCTCTGAAGATTAAGGTCTACGGTGGGGATATCGGGAATAGTAGGAGGCGTTGAGAGAGAGAGAGAGAGAGAGAGAGAGAGACCGACGTGGAGTGTGTGGTTTGTGCAAGTACAAGGCCCAAAGAACCACATACCGGCCCAATCAACCAGAGGCCTCCCATTCTGCAAAGGGAGTAGCGGCCCTCTAGAACGGATGGCCTAGTGTGCGAGTACTATTGTGGTGCTACATGGATCCCGGTCCTCCTATTTGGCGATGTAAGCACCAGCGGACCAAAGAGCGTGCACCCCACCGCTACCCCCGCGCGCTGACATGGGTCGGCCCATGTGCGGGGCGGGAAAGCCGGAAGCACCTTGGGTTTATTTTTACTTTTTCTGTGTTAACAGTTTCCTTTTAAAAATAATTCAGGATTTCAAAAAATATTGCAAATTGTGAAAAGTTTGTCAATTCAGAAAAAAATCATGATTTGAAAAAATGTTTAGGAAATGATAAATGCTCACGGATTCAAAAAAAAGTGCACCGAATCCAAAAACTGTCCTTGAACTCAAAAAATGTTCGTGATTTCAAAAGAATGTACATTTTTTAAATTTTCATGAACATTTTTATGAGCATTCCCTAACAATGATAAACTTTTTTTTTGTATTTGATGAACAAATTTTGACTTTGATAACATTTTTTGAACTTGATTAACAGAAATTGTATTCAGGAACATCTTTTATGAAGAATGGACGAACAAATTTTGAATTCAATGGAAAAAAATGATTTTGATGAAATTATTTTGAAGATTGATGAACAAATCTCGCATTTGATGAACATTTTTTAATTCGATTAACAATTTTCAATGAAATTTTTTAAATCAACAAAAATTAAACTTAATGAACATTTTTTGAATTTGATGAACAAAAAAAGGTCCTCTGTTTGAAATAAAGTTGTGAAAACTGAAAATGTACACAATTTTATAAGATGTTCACAAATTTGTAAAAAAAATACTCATGACTTTAAAATGTTCACAATTTAAAAAAAATAATCATGTATTTTAAAAATGGTCATGATTGCAAAGGCTATTCACAATTTCAATAAATGTTCATGAATCTGAAAGATGCTTGCAAATTTAAAAAGAAAAAGAAAAATTAAACAAAATCGAAATTAAAAATGGAAATAATAATAATAATAATAATAATAATAATAATAATAATAATAATAAACAGAAAGGAAAAAGAAAAAGAGAAAGAAAGAAAAAACAGAAAGGAAAGATACCTGTTGAGAGAAGGTTCTTGAACCTTCCCAAAACCGAAGGGGAAGAAATCTGTTAATGGGCCAGCTGAAAGGAGGATCGAAGGCAGGTGGGGAGTAGGCGCTAAGTAGATAGGTTGTGCCCTATGCGCAAATAGAAAAACCTCCCATGGATCCAATGGCCACGGACGACCAGATCAAGAAAACGGATGGCCGGAAAAGCATGTGGAGTAAGAGTGCACGCTTTAGGCTCAGTTTTACGGTCCTAGATTCTCATTTGCACTATTTCTTTTTTGCGGAGTTATTGGTTGCACGTATTTTCATGAATCTCTAAATTAATACCTCGATTAGCCACTTCTCTAATCATGTGTCTTTAGTGGAAGTTTTAATCATAATTTTTATATAATATTAGATTAGATGAATGATTGGATGTTGATCCGAAGGCTTAGGAAGTGACAAAGATATATAAAATATCCGTGAAAACTTAGAAATAGATACCCTCGTGACATTCCAATTGCTGGCAAACACAATCTTGGCTCCCACATGGTTTTTTATCAATCAGGAAGTTTTGTTAGGCCACGGCACGGGAATACATATTGAGAGGCATGACCATAGCAATTCCGTGATCATGCTTATTGACAGGTCGAAACAAGGTCATCATCAAGATATGATCGTAACCTGATTTATGGGGGACAAAATAATTAAGGTTCAACATCAACAAGGACTAACGTTTACAAGGAGATAATTTAAACCTCCAACTCTGAATTGGCATATAACTACATAAGCACTGAGAAATTAACTGATTCACTGGCTCCTGGCGCTTTAGTCGTAAGGCCTCCAGATCTTCTTTTGCCTCAGCTATAAATGACAGGTGTAGCGAAATACATGCATCAGATCTACCCCTTTTATTTTTATATTTTAAGTTCGCGACCAAAAATGACAAGGCCGGCCAAGAACATGAGTGGGGCAAGTAAGTTTAACCTGAGTGCTGTGTCCACACTTCTTCTTGCGACAGTTTGTTGCCCTAGGAGGTAGCCGAGCATAGCACCTGCAACAAGAGATCAATGCAGGGTGACAAAAGGTTAGTATATATTCATATGACACATACGCTCATATACAGTATATAACTATATATAAGCCTAAGATGATAAAATTAATGGAATGGCTAGACGTCAGTCGTTCGAAAAATAAATTTGGGTCAGTCGATGTGTGTCAGCCCTTGGATGAAAATTAAACGCTGTCGATTGCTTCTTCGACCTCGAGTCGTCTTTTTCTTCCACCCGCCTATGGACCACTGGCCGAACTGCCGGCCATTGCCGCCCCGCCCTCCCTGAAACAATCCCCCACCGCTGCTCTTCCACCGCCCCGGACCATCCGTCTAGGCCCCCCATGCCCATTTTTGTCTTCGGTGAAGTCCCCCACCGTCGCCCGCCACCACCGCTGTCCACCACCGCCCCCACCCTAAACCGTAAGATAGACACTGGGTAGCCCTCCGTCGAGCCCCTTCCTTCTTCCTCCCCATTGGCCTTCCTCCGGTGAGTTTCTTTGGAAACTCAAAATCGACTGACCCACTAGAAGAATGATAGGAATCGCTGAGTGAGTATTACAGAGGAAGGCATTGCCTTATATACACACGAGGAGCACATGAGTGCATGGCGATCCGTACAACAGAAGGAGCTAGTCTCCAGGAGCGCCGTGCGCTAAGCAGCGTGGCCAGCGGGAGTGGCCACGATCACCGCGTGCGGGGCAGACGGAGCGGCGTGGGCGGAGTCCACAACAGCTGTCTTCCAACAGCCCCCCGCAGCCGCAACAGGGTCTTCGACGATGTTGAGGCTGGACCTGAACTCACTGAAGACGGCGGTCGGCAGCCCCTTGGTGAAGACGTCGGCGTACTGGGACGATGAAGGCACGTGCAGAACGCGTACGTCGTCGAAGGAGACGCGCTCACAAATGAGGTGGAGGTCGATCTCCACATGCTTCATGCGCTGGTGCTGAACCGGGTTGGAGGAGAGGTACGTGGCGCTGATGTTGTCGCAGTAGAGATGGTGGCGCTGCCGGGCGGTCGATGAAGCTTGTGGAGGAGTTGGCGGAGCCAGCAGGTGTCGGCGACGGCGTGGGCGACGGCGCGGTACTCCGCCTCCGCGCTGGAGCGCGAGACGGTGTGCTGGCGCTTCGACGACCAGGAGACGAGGTTGTAACGCCCCGAGCCCGGTGCTTCAGATGCCTTCCTTGTTTTCCGAGATTCGTCGTGCGATTTGTTTTGTTCATTGCATTCATCCTTGCATCATGTGCATTGCATCACGTCATTAACCTTTGCATCTCAACCCAACTAAATAAATGGCATGGATCTTTGATCCATTTAAATCGAGAAAATTCACATGGTGATTCTCTTTAAAACATATCCTCTCGATATTTAGAGAGCTATAGTAAATATTCCAATTATTTGGATTTACCGCAAACACACTTACAAAAAATCCTAATGCCTTTGTTGTCTTAATTCTTGATCTCCAACTTTGCCATTATTATTTCATCATTTTCCAGAGCTCCACCAAAAATCCGAACATTTTTGGACCTTCCCAAACCCTCACTTCCGTTCAAACCCATTTGAATTAAATTCAAATGAGTTTGAATTTAAATCTTGCAATCTTGGCCTTTCTATTTTTCTTGGAACGAGCATATTTTTGCAAGTCCGGGAAAATTATCTCCATGCGCAAATCCTTTCCCTAACCCTCTCTTTTCTTTTCTTCTCTTTAATTGTTTTCTGCTAAAGAAAATATAAGAGAGAGGGAGAAGAGTGCCTAGCCGGCCTCTTAGGCCCAGCTCTAACCCAAGTCGGACCAGGCCAGCCCATCTAAGCCGGCCCAAGGCCCAGCCGCCTCTAACCCTAGCCCAGCCCCCACGCACCCCATTTCCCCCTCCTCGTTCCCTTCCGCCGCCGCACTCACACCCGCAGCGCCCGAACCCATCGCTCGCTGGCCCTCTCCCTCCTCGCTCGATCCCCTCCCCTTGCGCCGCAACTCCCCTCCGCTCGATCCCCTTCTTCCTCGCGCCTCCGCCTTCGCCCAAGGCCTCGCCCTTCCTTCTCCCCCGCGTCCCCATCGCCACCCATCGCCTCAACCCCTCGCACCCGACCTCCTCCGTCGCCTGCGCCTGTGCCCCTCCTCTACCTCGCCTCCTCCTCACGCGCGCCGTGCCCGATTCCCACGGACCGCCTTGCTGCCCCGTCGCCCCTCCGGCCGGCGAGTCTAGGCCGCCCAGCTCGCCCCGCCTCGTTCCCGGATGGAACCGGTGCTGAGCGCTCCTCCTCCCGGCCTCCTCGCGCCCATCCGCCCCTGCTGGCGTTGCTCAACTCCGGCGCCCCTGCCTCGACCTCCTCTGCAAGCTACAGCCGCCCCTTGCGCCTCAAGTCTCTCCCGCCGGAGCCCCGCAGTCCCTTGTCGCGCCGCCCTTCGCCAAGTCCTGCTCGCCTCCGCGCCACCAGCCAGCCCCGCAGGCCCGCGCCGTCTCCCTCCTCGTGCCAGGGAGAGGAGCTCCCTCTTCCTCGCCGTCCTTCGACTCGTCGTCGCTCCGGCGCCCGTTCCCAGCCCCGGCCGCCCTCTGCCTTGGACTCAGGTAGCAGCCATGCCCATGCTGCTGCCTTGCCTTGCTCGCGCCAGCCCCTTTTGCGTTGGCCTTGCTGCCTTTGTCATGGCCAAGTCAACCCAGACGCCCGGAGTCCATCTTTGGTTGCACACCAAGTCGGCCATGCCTTGCTGCCTCCTGTACACTGTTGGTCAACAGTTGATGCACGCCAAGTTCTTCGACTACAGCCGATGCCCCGAGGACACCGAGTACGACTACACACGGCGATGCGTCAAGTTCCACTACCGTCGACCCCATGGACCGCCAAGTTCCTCTACAGATGACTCGATCGTCTTAAAACGTGTACAACTACTTTCACTACCGCCGCCGCGAGAACGACTACTTCCCCTACGACCTGTGAATGACTACTTCCCTCGACGTTTTTGAACCGCTCCGAAACGCACGCTTCAAAGGTATAACCCCGAGGCGACCGCCCGTGAACGAATGCATGTGTTGTATGAGATGCACCATATGTTTGCACCGTGTCCGAATTGTCACTCGTTTGCCATACCACCGTCCCGTGGGAACCCGGAAGTCGGGAGCACCCCACCATCTTTGCATGTTGTGCACATCCGCACACTTCCTTTTGCATCGGTATCTCCGTGAGCTACCAGAACCGATATGTTGCCATGGCATCATTTTCGGATATGTTGCCGTGGCACCATTTTTCGTTTCGCCGCCGTGGCACTCTTTTCCTTCCGCCATGGCGACAAATGCTCCTTATCATCTTCATGTCAACTTTTTCATAAAAATTGCATAAAACTTGTATATGTCATCCGCATCATGTTAACAACATTTAAATGGTTAAAATTGTTGTTTGCTTAAAAATTGCTAAATGATATGAGAATTTTCCGGAATTGTTGTTTGTTGTTTCCGGCCTCATTTAAACTTGCCTAAATAGGTGGTTTGCTCATGCTTCACCTCTTGCCATGTTAATCAACATTTAATATTGTTTGGTAACATAACCGAGAGAGAACTAAATAATTGTTGTGGTGTTCCGTCAATATGCAACTCGTTGCATATTGAGCTCCACTTAATTTGTAGTATTGTTTGTTGCACTTTGCCATGCCATGCCTCTTTAAACCGGACATGCATCATACTTGATTGTGCATCATGCCATGACTATGTTTGTGTGTTTACCATGTTGTTTGCTTCTTTCCGGTTTGCTTCTCTCATTAGCTTCGGTTTTGTTCCGGAGTTGTGAGGATTCGTTCGACTACGTCCGTTTGTCTTCTTCATGGACTCGTTCTTCTTCCTTGCGGGATTTCAGGCAAGATGACTATTACCCTCGATATCACTTCTATCTTTGCTTGCTAGTTGCTCCGTTCTATCGCTATGTTGCGCTACCTATCACTTGTTTACCATGCCTCCCATATTGCCATGTCAGCCTCTAACCTTTTTTTCACCCTTCCTAGCAAACCGTTGTTGGCTATGTTATCGCTTTGCTTAGCCCCTCTTATAGCGTTGTTAGTTGCAGGTGAAGTTGAAGATTGCTCCATGATAGACATGATTAGATATCACAATATCTCTTATTTAATTAATGCATCTATATACTTGGTAAAGGGTGGAAGACTCGGCCTTATGCCTGGTGTTTTGTTCCACTCTCGTCGCCCTAGTTTCCGTCATACCGGTGTTATGTTCCCGGATTTTGCGTTCCTTACGCGGTTGGGTGATTTATGGGACCCCCTTGACAGTTCGCTTTGAATAAAACTCCTCCAGCAAGGCCCAACCTTGGTTTTACCATTTGCCACCCAAGCCGTCTTTCCCTTGGGTTCTGCAGACTCAAGGGTCATCTTTATTTTAACCCCCCCGGGCCAGTGCTCCTTCGAGTGTTGGTCCGAACTGAGTAGACTACGGGGCCACCTTGCGGAAACTTGAGGGCTGGTTTTACTCATAGGATGTCTCATCCGGTGTGCCCTGAGAACGAGATATGTGCAGCTCCTATCAGGATTTGTCGGCGCATAGGGCGGCTTTGCTGGTCTTGTTTTACCATTGTTGAAATGTGTTGTAAACCGAGATTCCGAGTCTGATCGGGTCTTCCTGGGAGAAGGTCTATTCCTTTGTTGATCGCGAGAGCTTGTCATGGGCTAAGTTGGGACACCCCTGCAGGGTATAATCTTTCGAAAGTCGTGCCTGCGGTTAGTGGCAAATGGGAATTTGTTAATGTCCGGTTATAGATAACTTGACACTTGACTTAATTAAAACGCATAAACCGCGTGTGTAGCCGTGATGGTCTCTTCTCGGCGGAGTCCGGGAAGTGAACACAGTTTTTGGGTTATGTTTGACGTAAGTAGGAGTTCAGGATCACTTCTTGATCATTGCTAGTTCACGACCGTTCCTTTTGTTCTCTTCTCGCTCTTATTTGCGTATGTTAGCCACCATATATGCTTAGTCGCTGCTGCAACCTCACCACTTTACCCCTTGCTACCCATAAGCTTAAATAGTGTTGATCTCGCGGGTTTTGAGATTGTTGAGTCCTCGTGACTCACCAGATACTATCACAACAGTTGCAGGTCCCGATGATACCAGTGCAGGTGATGCAACCGAGCTTAAATGGGAGCTCAACGAAGATCTTAGTTGTTGCTATGTTTTGTTTCTTGATGATCAGTAGTGGAGCCCAGTCGGGACGATCGGGGATCTAGCAGTTGGGTTATCTTCTTTTCTTTTGGCTTTGTCCGTAGTCGGACTATATGTGTGTGTACTCTGAATGATGTATGATTTTTATATGTTCATTGTGTGAAGTGGCGATTGTAAGCCAACTCTTTATCCCAGTCTTGTTCATTACATGGGATTGTGTGAAGATGACCCTTCTTGCGACAAAACCACAATGCGGTTATGCCTCTAAGTCGTGCTTCGACACGTGGAAGATATAGCCGCATCGTGGGTGTTACAGTCGCTGAGGAAGACGCAGAAGCCCAACGTAGAACGGCGTGTGTCGGGGCAACCCGCCCAATCCGCGTCTGAATAGGCAACCAGGTTGGTGTCGCGAGATCGCCGGAGCTGGAGGCCAAGATGAGGGGTGCCGCGGACGTAGCGCAGGACTCGCTTGAGGTAGGTGAAGTGACTCTCGCGCGGGTCGTGTATGAAGAGGCACAGCTGCTGTACTGCGTAGGCGATATCGGGCCGAGTCAAGGTGAGGTACTGTAAAGCACCGGCAAGACTGCGATAAAGAGAAGGGTCGGAGATGGGCTGCCCGTCCTGAGCGGAGAGTTTGCGCTTGGTATCAGCAGGTGTGGCGATGGGACGGCAGTTGCTCATGGCGGCACGCTCGAGGATCTTGAGCGCATATTGATGTTGCGAGAGGAAGAGCCCGTCGTTCGTGCGGTGGACGTTGATGCCGAGGAAGTGGTGGAGTTCACCAAGATCAGACATGGCGAATTCGCGGTGGAGCGCGGCGATGATGGAGCGGAGCAGAGCAGTGGAGCTAGCGGTGAGCAATATGTCATCCACGTAAAGCAGTAGATAGGCTGTGGAGGAGCCGCGGCGAAGGATGAACAACGACGTGTCGCACTTAGACGCGATGAATCCAAGTGAGAGCAGGTGGGCGGTGAAGCGCAAGAACCACGCTCGTGGTGCCTGGCGTAGGCCGTAGAGCGATCGGTGCAGCCGACAGACGTGCGAGGGGTGGTGCGAGTCGATGAAGCCGGAGGGCTGCTGACTGTAGACGACCGTGTCGAGGTGGCCGTGGAGGAACGCGTTGGGGGAGAAGAGGGTTTTGGGTTGAAGGAAGCCAGACTTGGCTCTGGTTTGCATGGCGTGGGTGTCGCGGCGTGGAGTAATGGGCACGACGCGGGGTGGGAGAGGCCGACCGGGGGGCGACGCGGGATTGGA